CCCTCACTTCCTCCCACCCAGCAACTGTTTCACCAATTTTTTTAATCAGAATTCACCAAAAAGAAAATTTCAATAAGTTTTTTTTTTAATTTACCCAAAATTAGCAAATTTTAATTTAATTTAATTTAATTTTTTATTACAAAATCAGTCAACAACAATCAATAAATCTCAGCAAAATCTCAAACAAATTCAACAAATCTCAGATTTAACAATTTTTTTTTAACAATTTCATTGGAGTTCAACAAGCAATTTCATAGCTCCAAATCTTAGAATATGAACAAAACTGAAAAATAATAAATACCTGATTTTGGTAGTTCAAAGTAGATCTAGTGGTGAGTCATAGCGTCAAAGGAAGCGGTGAAGATATCACTGGCGGTGAGAGCAGATCTGATGGTCCTTGGCTCAGAATCGGCGATCGTCTCTTCGATCTTGTCCAACGTCGCCAATCTATTCTAGGAGTAAGAGAGAGAGAGAGAGAGAGAGAGAGAGAGAGAGAGAGAGAGAGAGAATGGTGGGAGTAGATGATGGTGATTGGTAGTACCGGAGAGTAGAGAGAAAAGTGAGAGGGAGATAGAGGGAGAGGGAGAGGAATAGAGTGAGAGTGAGAGTAAAATGGAGAGGGATGAAAGGTTGGTCTTCCGCAATTAGAGGTAGACACCGTCGCTGATCGAAGAGAGGGGGAAGAGAGAGAGAGAGAGTGAGAGCGCGAATGAGACGGATAGAGTGTGTGTGTGTGTGTGTGAGAGAGAGAGAGAGAGAGAGAGAGAGAGGAAATGTTGGTCTTCGGCGATTTGAGGTAGACACCGTCGCTTATCGAAGAGAGGAAAAAGAGAGATAGATGGAGACTAAAAGAGAGAGAGATGGGGAAATGGAAAGAGAGAGAGAGAGAGAGAGAGAGAGAGAGAGAGAGAGAGAGTGGGCGATTTGGGGTAGACACCGTCGCCGATTGAAGAGAGGGAAAAGAGAGATAGATGAAGACTGAGAGGGAGAAGGATAAGGAAATGGTGAGAGAGAGAGAGAGAGAGAGAGAGGACATAGTGGAGAGTCAAGATGATTCTGGATCATTCATCTCAACCGTTGGAAATGGTTAAGATGGGCGATGGTAATCTGTCTTGGAAAGGCAAAAGAGCTATTGTGCTCTTTTTGCTTGGAAAAAAAAAAGTTTAAAATTAGTACAAACAACAACTATAAATGTTTCAATTTTTTAATTTTTTTTCATTATTTATATTTGTCTAGTTAGGAATAATGTAAATATATAATTTTTTTTAGAAATAATTTAAAAAAAGTCACAAAAGACAAAAAAAAAAAAAAAAAAAAAAAAAAAAAAAAAAAAAAACAATTCACTAAAAAACTTATATCTAAACAACACCTACAAATTTGGAAGGAAAGTTGGTTGAAATTTGCCAAAATAACATGTGACCATTGGAGCACAATTGCTATAATTTGACAAAATAACACTATTCATTACCAAATTATAGAAATGACAATGTTATTTTAGCAAACATCATTGGAAATGCTCTTACCTTACTTTGAGGGGATACAATTATGAATTATCAAAATTTTATAGTAAATAATGTGTTATCATTTGTTTTAGTGTTGAATTTTAATTTCTATATATTGGAAGAATAAATTTATAAGGCACTATGTTGTTTATTAAGCAATTTGATAATAGTTTTTTGTCAACTACCTATAATTAAATGCTAAAATGACTACTTTAAAGTTGGTACAACCTTGGGCCAAGGCTATTAGACTTTCAATGGCATCATCTTCCAAATTTATAATGTGAATTCAAAAAAAAATAAAATAAAATATTAAAGTTCCATAACTTGGCACATGGCATCAACTTGCATATATATACAAAATATTTGATAAATATTATACATAATTTCATTTATAATCACTCCATATCCTTTCTTTAGATACAAGATATTAGTAACCATTCACTTTATATTTAGGATTAAGAAAATTTGGTAAGACATGAAAATATGGGATTAAGATTTCTGCCATGGATCTCTTTGTAATGATTTTGTTGTGATATTTCAATAGTCTATGTTTAAAATTAAAGCACAACTATATCATTTTAGGATGCGTTGGCTCTATACAATTTTATTTTAGTTTTAATTCAAATCGTTAGATTATGTAATTTTACTAACATATCTTGTTGATATAAAAAATAGAATAAGATCATTACCGGAAAACTATAATAGAGAGATAATATGATTTTAATTTATGATTTCCCTCTATACAATATAAATAGTATATAAGTTGGTTAGTTATTATATTAATCTCACATGAATTGAGTAAAAAATTATTAAAACTGTATTTAAAATTTAGATTGTAGAAAAAAACTAAAAGTTAGTATTTTCTTTGTTTTTTCCTCCACATAATTGAGGAACTTACGCCAAAAAAAAAAAAAAAACACAAAAATTAAAAGTGTTAAGTCAATGAAAGCAAATTCAATCTTGGTAGGTCACATGTGGCACTCATAATTACACGGTTACACCAGCCATCATTCATCACCAGCAGAGCCATTTGATGAAATTATGACACAATTCTCATTCTAGCTTTGTATCTTTTCTTAAAGGCAACAGCTTTATTCTTCAGCTTAATTGAGGAATCTTGCTCATTGGGTCCGTATAGTGATGCATTCAGATCACTACAAGAATTTATACATTTTGCGACCACTTTTACCGATTAAAAAAATTTTAGTCGCAAAAAAATAACGTTTGGCGACCAAATATTAATTAGTCGCGAATGATTATTAATTTTGGCGACCAAATTTTATTGGTCACAGAAGGTTATATTTTGGCGACCAAAAAATATGTTGGTCGCAGAAAGTGGTATACTTTTGCCGACCAACTACAAATTTGGTCGCGGAAGGTCACATATTTTTTGGCGACCAAAAATTTGGTCGCGAAAAACTTATTTTCAGCAACCAAAAAAAATTAGTCGCCAAATTAGTACTTTTAGCGACTAATATTTTAGTCGCCGTTGATTGAGATTTGGCGACTAAAAAAATTTGTCGGCAAAAGAACCTATTTTTGCGACTAATTTGAGAGTTTGGTCGCCAAAAGTTTGGGGGGAAATTTGAAACGTGGGGCGGGAATTGAATTTCAGAAAAAAAATTTCAGATTGGGGTAATTTTCTACTTCACACACTGTTGATGCATCAATCGAACCCAGATTGGGGTAATTTGGTTTAACTCGTCTCCTCCCATTCCCTCTGTCTCTCTCTCCCTCTCTGTTCTTCTTCCCTACCCTCCCTCTTGCGCTCGCTCCCGACGCTGGCCTCGATTTCTGCCTCTCCCCCATTCTCTCTCAGTGTCTTCAAGTCGCAATCCTCCCACTCGCAAGGTAGGGTTTCCGATTGTGAATCGCGACACTGTGCTTCGATTGGGTCACCGAAGGCTAGGGTTTCCACCACCACAGCCACCTTCATCATCATCAGCTTCCTCAAATTCTACATTGACGCCGCTGTCTTCTCTTTCTCTCTCTGCTTCGAACCCCCATGGGAGCTCTCCGGTACCTCTCTCCCTCTCTCTCTCTCTTTCTCTCTATGCTTCTCTATGCTTCAAGTAAATCGATATTTGTTGGTGGAATTGAGGTAATGCTTCTCTATGCATTTGAATTCAAAAACATATATTTGTTGTCAGAAAAGTTGTGTAATGACATATCCCCTGGGATTTTGACTTAGTCAAGGAACTCATTATCTTTCCTTGGACTTGGGATCTCATACTGCTTCTTTTAGAATTTCAATTAATGTCACTGATTTAGGTTGTGTGATATAGTTACTTCTAATTTTCTCCCTTTGATTATCATGTGACACATCTAGTTTGATCTGTCTCATTATCAAATGAGTCCCCAGGACCCCATGCCTCATTGTATGACTGCTGCAATATCTGCTTATTAGCTCTGCCAAGTTTTTGGTGCCATTGATACCTGGCGAAGCTACAGTATAGTACCCATAGTATGCTGAATTTTTTTAAAGGTCGCTTTTTGGTGGAAGAAAATCTTTTCGAGGTTTTGCAACATAGTATAACAAATTTCCCCCCATTGAATAGCACTAAACTTTTTACAAGCCTTCTTTCCTCTACCCTTTGCGAAACCAAATCGAAAATGTCACTAAGATACATTAGTAATTTCAGGAACTAAAACTCCTCAATTACCAAACACTTGCATTACCAATTGCCAAAACTCTTGAGCACCTTGGATTTGCAGACACCGGACAAGTTCTGTAGTTCTGTACTAACAAGATGAATGAAGTAACCTCTAACCTGCAAATCAAAAACCAAGTTAACAGAGCCAGTGACGAAAGAATCTATGTACTACCCATGTTTGGCAGAGCAGACGATGGAGAGACAGCTTCAAAGTGAATCCAAGAACCAAAAAGAAGTTATAGGACTGGTATGTCAGGGTCTTTCCTGGGTTGCTTCTGCACTGAGGTGAAAGAATTTAGCATACAGGTATGCTCGGATTGATGGGAATTCAGTTCAAATGACAAGGATCTTTATATCCTCATATCTCCCAAGTAAATTAAGGCTATGTTTGGGTGGTAGGAATTAAAGACAGAATGCGATCCTATTACCAGGAATATTGATAATAATAAGATTCTGAGGTTAATGAAATTCTAGTGTTTGGATTGGTTAAGAATTTTCTAATGGGAAATGGTAAAATTTTAAATAATGTGTGCCCATGTTTCTTTTTTACACTTGAGTGCTTCAAATATGTGAGATTCTCATGGGGTTGTGCAAGAATGAGGTTCCGCTTAGTGTTGTAACCCCATTTCACCTTAATAAGGTAACTTAGAATCACATTTCACGTCATACATGCAGTCAAACGGAATAAAGGAGACATGAAATGAGATTCCTGTTATCCACGCATAAACATAGCCTAAGATTGATAGACCAGCATGCTTCCTTGCACTTCTACTAATGCTATTTGTAGTTTATGAATAATTTGACATATGTGACGCGAATGGTTTATAGGCACTAACAACATTAATGATTTGTGACGTTTCTTAATCTATGATTTCTGTAATTGTGTCTCAAGGTTGTTAAGGTAGCAGATTTTGGCATTGCTCGGTTCCAAAATCAAGGGGGTGTGATGACAGCAGAGACTGGTACATACCGATGGATGGCCCCTGAGGTTGAACTCTCTTTCGTTTGCCTATGTCTTCTGCTTCATTAGCTTGATATGGTTGAAGATGAGGGATTGTGTGTGGGTGTTTTCTTTAAAATTTCTTTTTCTACCTGGAGCTCGGAATCCTAATGTTAATTCTCATTGTAAAAGCTTTCCTGAGTTATCTGTTGACTAAGTTAGCCCCCTTACCCAGTTGCTTGTAATAGATCCTTGTATTCTCCAATCATTGGTCGACATTGATAATTTGCAACAACGCTAAATGGGGAATAATTATGAGAATGGGTGATGACAGTGTTTTAGAACCTGGACTAGACCAGGCAGTATGTAGTAAAATTGGGAGCGGGTCAAATGGTCTAGGCAATTTCATGAAAATCATTCTATTTTGAGACTTGGATTGATGGTTTAATCGTTGATTAGTGTAAACTGTTCGTGCATTGATGGAGCTGCATGGTCCAATTAAATTTTTTTATGTTACGGTTTTTAGGGCATGTTCAACCATACTTTCCTGATTGTTTTTGAATCTTGGCTCACTTTTTAGTGTGATTGTCTATGAAGCACAAACACTTTAAAATAGGGGCCATAGCAGTGTCTGACACGGGGACATGTAGGGGATACGCCGGGGACACTTGTCTAAATCTAGATACGTCAAGGGAGACGGGGACACGGCAGGGACATGCCATTTAATTAATTGATTTTTTTTTTTTTTTGCAGGGAACACGCATCTCCAAATATGGATGATCTATTAATTTGTTTAAATGTAGTGGTTTATATATATATATATATATATTGAATTAATGTTAGTTTTTATTAATTTTGATTGTTTGGTAACATAATATTAATCTATATAGCAAATATATATAAAAAATAATAATTTGCCGTGTCCCTGTTCCTATTTTTTTGAAATCACCGTGTCCATGTCTGTGCTTCATAGTGTATTGACATTGCAATTCTTTTATTTCCATGAATTATGCACATCAGTTAACTTACCTCAATCTGTAGTATCATTTTAAATCTTCTGTATCTAACAATGTTGATGCATGCAATACTGGGTTGAATTTTTTGAGAAAACTAATGAAGTGCACTTTGTTTGACACTAGGTTCTGGACCTGTGTCATAGAATTGCGTGACGTTAACCATTATTTGATGTTGATTTCCTAGTTATTCACTTCTTACTTTGATATCATTTCTTACTTTGTTTCTCCATCAAAAGGTTATTAATCATCAACCATACGATCAGAAAGCAGACATATTCAGTTTTGCTATTGTTCTGTGGGAGCTTGTCACCGCTAAGGTATTTCCTCAATTAGCACCAAGCCTCAAATACCACTTTTGAGTATTTAACTTCTCAATTGTGAAGATAAAAAATCTTGTGAGATGATGATTATTTTTTGTGATGCAGGTTCCATATGATACGATGACTCCTTTACAAGCTGCCCTGGAGTGAGACAGGTTTGGTTGTTTGTATATCAAGTTATATCATAAGATAAAATATATAATTTACCATATTTTCTTTTACAAACTTCAGTATATTATCTTTAAATTACAGCATCAGTACTTCCAATTTCAGTCTTCATGAAGTTATAAATGAATATTTTTGAGTGTTTTAAAAGTTCTATACTTTTATCATCGTCCCTGGGAGATTACATTGTAGTTAAAAGCAATAATTTTACATTACAAACTAAACATACATCACAAAATAAACAGAACTTATAAACAGTACACAATAGTTTATAGACTTAGTAATAGAACTAAACAATCATATATATCATGCAATAATACAGATTCAGTGAATCAAAGCAGAAAATATAATAGAAATTTAAACAGAAATATGTGGCTTGTGAGTCTCTGAGGCACGCAATTACTGTCCTAAAGTCACTGTTCCCAGAAGCTAACAGCCACTCATTTGGTGTTCGCGTCCACCAGGAGGAAAAACAACCGTCCGAATCGAGTTGTCTAGAAAACACAGACTAGTAGGCAAATTCTCTTGAGATGAATCTGTGACCTCTTTCAAAATATGAGTGTATTGGAATATCAGTGTACTACTTTGTACTTCTGTAGCAAAATACTCTATATATAGGAAAAACTTTTAAACAGATGAGAATAAAATCTGAATTAATATAAAAATTTGTAACATATTTGTATGTCAAAACTTGTGATATAAAGCCCTATAAAAAGAGCTGAGCTGACTGAAATAGAATGGAATAAAATTAGGGTTCATTTGGGAATTGGCTTTTTTAGTATTTTTTTGACTTGGTATGAAAAGATGTGCAGAAAAGTAGAGAGAATGAGTTGACTTTTTGACTAATTTAGCTTGTTCCCAAACAAGGCCTTAGAATAGTGGAACTGGAATTTGGAAATAGAACTTACGGCCGACCACGGCAAAGAAGAGTAGATCTAAAACAGTGAAAACAGACATGAAACATAGGTAGTCACTACTAATCAAGTAAATACCACTAGTTGGCACGACTCATGACTAATCAAGTATGCCAAGAAGAACAAAAACATATATGTTCGATGTGTTCGATGTGACTTATTTTTCCAATCAACGTGGGACACGAAGTTTTGAAACTCTTAAAAACACTTCGAAGTTCCAATGAACTGTAGCAAATGAAAACAAGACTTTAGTGTTTACATTGCTTGACATATACACACAGTTAAGTTGGTAGGATTGAGAATGTCATGTTATGGCACTTCATCTGGTGCCACATTTCTGTGTTGCGTTAACTAATGACCACATTTTGTTCCTTAGTTTAACTCATGATGGGAAACATATATATATATATTTTTTTGATTAACGAAAGTTAGTAGTTAGTTGTTACATTAGTATCTTGGGGAGTCGAACTCTCACCCTCTCCTTGCAAGTACTTAATTGTTGCGCCCTATTAGAACCCAAGACCTCCCTTTAAGAGAGACTTGGTGGCCAAAGAGCTAGCCAAACACTAGAACTCCTTGGTTGATGGGAAACATATTCGATCTCATTAAGCTATTACTGATTCATTGGTGTGACGTTCAATACATTTACATATTAATTTTAAAAATGAGGCAACCAAACCAAGTCATGCATCAAGATATTATGGATTTTCAGAGTATTTTCTGTGACATCCTGATGCTTAAGCAGAAGAATTAGGAGCTCCAGAAGGGAACGCCCAAGAGATGAGATTGAACATCTAGTTTCAGAAGTAGTTTTATTAACTGGAAGTAAAAATGAATGAAGAAAAATAAAAAATTATGTCGTTATCTTATCTGTGATGACATCATTCAAATAGAACAGTTGTCTTGGATAATCTTTGGATGCTACTTGTTTTGAAGTGAGAGTTGATGCTCAATGTACTATCTTGGTTTGCAACCATCCATTAGGTTAAAAACTGGACATATATACAAAGTTCGTAAAATTACTTGGAGGGACAACTTCAACTACAGATTTGTAGGGTTCCGGAACATAATATTACGTGTTTAGAAGACAACTAGATATGAGTGCAATGCACCCTTTAAACAGTCTTATATCAACTTTTTATTAGACTTAATTAATAAGCGTCTTAGATTCAATACTGTAATTCAGGCAAAAAGGAAAAAACTAACACAAAATATTATCGAAAAATGATAAAATGAAAATGTGAAATTTTTTGAAATTGTGAATAAAAAAGGTCTTCTGTGGATAAAAATAATAATAAAACAAATAAAAAAGAAATTTCAACTCCAGTACGAGCTTTTTATGATTTCCCTGGTTGCAATTTTGTCTACACGGATTGAAGTAATCACCCACACCTTTTTAACTTTATTTATATTCTATTTGCCAGGGCATGAGACCGGATCTTCCAGACAATACGCACCCCAAGTTCCCTGATGCTGTAAATTTGAATTATGTATTGTTTCAATTTGTTATGCTAGATAGATGTGACTTGTGAATGAAAACTTAGAATAGTTGTATTGTGTCGAATGTTAATGAATTATGTATTGTGTCGAATGTTAATGATTCAGTTAATTTGAATGATGCTTTAAAATTATAGGTTTATTATGGATTGAATGAATTATTAGGAATTACAGGTGTATTGTTTTCCTGCTTTGGCGACCAATTTATTAGTCGCAACAAATAAATTATTTTTTTCGCAAAAAATGACAATTGTCGACCAAGAGTTTTGGTCGCGAAAAATACATCTATTGCCGACCAAAACAGCTCTTGGTCGTGGAAACTCACTTTTGCCGACCAAAAGTTTTGGTCGCGAAAAGTAACAAATGGCAACCAAAACCTTTTTTGGTCGTGGAATGTCACAATTGACGACCAAACTTTTTCGTCGCGGAATGTCACGATTGGCGACCAAAATGTTTTGGTCGCGGAATGTCATGATTGGCGACCAAAATTTTTGGTTGCGGAATGTCACAATTGGCGACCAAACTTTTTGGTCGTTGAATGTGATAATTGGCGACCAAACTTGCATGGTCGGGAAAATATCACTTTTTACGACCAAAGTGTTTTGGCGACAAAATAAATTAGTCGTGGTAATTAAATATTTAGCGACCAAAAATTTAGTCGCGAAATCCAACTTTTGCCGACCAATCACAATTTTGGTCGCGAATTACTTTTGCCGACCCTCAATTGGCGACCAAAGTAGCGACCATCTAGCTTTTTATCTTTTCTTAAAGGCAACAGCTTTATTCTTCAGCTTAATTGAGGAATCTTGCTCATTGGGTCCGTATAGTGATGCATTCAGATGTTCTGGGTCGCACATGCTCCACATTGATGTATTTAATGAGTCTATAGTTTTAGCCAATAAGCTCGGATAATCTTTGAAATTTTCATGTTAGTTTTATTATAACTTAATCGGGAGTAGTTAGTTGACTCATCTACATATTATTTATTTGTTTTTTTCTTGGTATTATAACAAGACAAGTTTTGCCAAGCCTAGTTGGCCAGCCTCATAAGTTTTATTTTGATAATTTTGATTTTAATTTTTTAAACTATAATGTGTAAATCATTTAAAAAAAAAGAACGATCTGAAAATCCTAATTACGTTAGTTCATGATATTTATTTATAAAAAAATGAACAACAAATAGTATTTGAAAAGTATCTTATACTCAATTGAATTATTCTGAATACATTTGTCATACTTATATACAATGAGCCTAACTAATATTATAACTGATCTAACAAACTCTAACAAACTCTTGTAACTAACTCTAACAGCTACAAGAAAATATCTTAGCTGATGACTCAGCTAAGTTGAGCTGTGAGCTATAGTCTGAGCTGCTTCTGCAACAGATGTTTGAGCTGCTGCGTTTGCAGCCTAAGCTGCTTGAGCTATAAACTGAAAACGTAAACGTTACCAAACACACAACAAACTCTTGTAACTAACTCTAACAGCTACAAGAAAATATCTTAGCTGATGACTCAGCTAAGTTGAGCTGTGAGCTATAGTCTGAGCTGCTTCTGCAACAGATGTTTGAGCTGCTGCGTTTGCAGCCTAAGCTGCTTGAGCTGTTGCCTCAACCTGAGCTATGATCCTCAGCATTCCCCCGCAAGCTAATGGAAGGAGGAACTGACATCAGTTTGTCTTTTAGATAGGAAAAATGAAAGACAGATAAAGGCTTGGTGAAAATGTCAGCCAACTGATCAATGGTGAACATAGTGTAAGATAAGTTGTTTAGCAAGCACTCGATCGCAAACAAAATGACAATCAACCTCAATGTGTTTAGATTTGGAATGAAAAACAGGATTAGAAGCTAGGGCTATAGCAGAAACATTGTTACACTAGAGAAGAGGGACAGTAGGAGAATCAATACAAAATTCCTAAAGTAACATGATAAGCCAAGCTAGCTCTGCAACTGTATGAGGTAAAGATCGATATTCTGCTTCTGTGGAAGATCTAGACACAGTAGCTTGCGTTTTAGCTGACCAAGAAATGAGATTAGATCCTAAAAACACACAATATCCAAAGGTGGATTTTCTGTCAACTGAATCCCCAGCTCAATTTGAATCTGAGTAAACCTGAAGATCAAAAGAGCTGGGTGTATATATAAGCCATGAGAGAGTGTACCCTTAACAAATCAAAGTAATCTTTTGACACCAGCATAATGACCAACAGTGGGGTTATGCATATGTTGACAAAGTTGATTTACTTCATAGGACAGATCAGGTTTGGTAATGGTTAAATATTGTAATGCTCCAACGATACTTCTACAGATAGAGGGATTATCAAAGGGCTGTTCTGAATTATGAGATAAACCAGGTTTGACAAAGATAGGAGAAGAGCAAGGTTTGCAATCCAATATACCAGCTTTAGTAAGTATGTCCAGAGCATATTTCTGCTGAGAAAGAACAATAGTGGAACCTGATGTATTAACTGATATGCCAAGAAAGTAGGAAATGAGGCCTAGTTCTTTCATGGAAAATGCTTGATGCATTTTAGTAACAAGATCCTGAATGTGAAAACCATCACTGCCAGTG